GATCTGTCGAAGTTTTAGGCGAGCTTGCTACTCAGTGCCACGATGTTGCCCCATTCAATACATCTGTTGCATGGATCACCGGTGCATGCCGCTTCTGTTAACTGTAAAATGTGGTGTCAGATCGAGCATTGTACCGTTAGAGCCATAAACATTACATTTCAATGTCACATTCCTGGTCGAATATTCCGCAAAATATGCAACGGAAGCTGTTCTTGTTTCACCAGGCATGCATAGGATGCCTGGGAATATTTGCTATTTGCTAATGCCTAGTTATACTTACAAAAAATATGCACTGCACTGCATAACACTGCCACCGTATACTGTCACTGTCAGTGTCACCATTATCGTCACCACCACCAATGTCACCACCACCACCATCACCGCCACCATCACCATTGCCGTGCGATTTTAATTAACTCGGCGGTGATCGCACCAGCAGCTGAATAGCGGACCTCTGCCGGCGACAATGAACGGGTGTCAAGAACGGCCCCTCGCAGCTCCCTAGTCTACTGGCCGGGTAAGCGGTCAAAGATTTAGAACAAAGCTTCTGGACGTGATGAGGCGGCCGTCCGGGGCCATCTGAGACGCCAATGGTGGCAGCCGGTGAGAGGGCACTTGGCAACACGGACGGACCTCAGATGTACTACGGGTCATCTCCGGATATAGTCCGGATTGACCAAGGATATACTGCGGAGCGGCCCAGATCTACTTCGGATGGATCCCTGATATACTTTGGGTCGATCCCGGTCCGAATAAACCCTGCTCTTGGTTACTCAAAACTTACAGTTGAGTACTAAAAATGATTTAAATAAATAAATGGCGAAGACCTAAAAGATGAAGGGTCACAACAAAAAAGACAAATCATCGTACGAATGAATGTGAGGTAATCCATGTTTTCATGACGTGCTTGTAAATCTCAAGAGGTGCCAATGCCATAACTTTCCGGTCTCGACAGGAAATGTCCGCAACTAGCTTCGCAATTCCTCGAAATAAAGGTAATTTTCCAAGAATACTCACTAAAAACTAGGTCACGAAATCTTTGTAATTGCATTCACTATGAATCGTCAGCCGTTCGCAAAGAAAAAACTGCTGACAGATAGGAAGTATTCCGATAAAGTTTTATTTTCAAAACAGGCTCTGGAGAGGAAATTTCATGGAGGAAAATAAAACAATGAGGATCGAGAGTCATGCTGGCAGCAATGTTGTTATGGGAAAAGGACTGCATCGCTCAAATCACGATCGCTCACGTAAAACTTCATTTATTTGAAACTGGGCCGTCAAAGATGTCACTTTTTCACACCGATTTCTAGCAAATCCACCCCAAAATAACCAGCTGTCTTTCCGTCATCCAGAATCCTCCCTTCCGTCCGTGCACCTGCTGAGTCAAAACAAAACCGGTCTCCTCCCTCCCACCCCTCCGTCCCCTCCCCTCCAGCACCCCCCCCCCCTCCCCCAGTCGCGAAGGTGTCAGTCCCGGCGTCGCTCCGCTCAGGAGCACAGGACGCTAGGATCGGGTGAGCGCCTTACCCCGAAAAACGCCCCTGCCAACGACGCGTGGCCACCTGTGAAGACTCTGCATGGCGGAAGTTTGTCTAGGAGTCAGGAAAACGAGAGGGGAGTGCTACTTTTTCTGTGCTGGCGGGTTGGAAATTTGAGTAGTTGTCAAGGCATGGCAACGGTTGTTAGGAACTTAAAAATCAAACTAGGCTAAAATCCATATCAATCATGCGATGGGAGAATCCTAAGGGCATTTGCATAGAGCTCCATGGATGTCCAAATGCTAACAAAATGCGGGACGTATTTGATCTATCCCGAATAGTGAAGACACTACCCTAGCTCCAACCTCCGTTCTCATTTCATCCGGCGGCGGCGGCCTCTTATTCCGCTCTTCTTCCGCATTGGGACTCGTCCCTTATCTGTCGACATCCCCTCTCCTCCTTATCCAAACAGCATCCATCAGGCAGCTTCGCAGCGCCCCTCCCTCCCTCCCGCCCCCTGCATTCTCCCCGTGACCGCAATCAGCTGTTTTCCCGGGGAGGGGCGCGCGCGTGGGTGGGGGAAGGGCGGAAGCATTGAGGCCATCCGAGGGTGCACTGCACAATGCAGGGAGTAGTGCAGGACGGTGACACACGGAGGCGCCCCAGCTGTCGGCGGGGTGGAACTCACGATCGGTCCCAAAGAGCGCGGCGTCTCAAAGGCGGCTGGGCGGCGGCGCCAGGGCGGGGGCGGCCGACCGCATCCGCTGTCGGCAGTACAAAGCGGACCGTCCGTTCCGACGCAGCCGCGTGCAGGAGTCAATGGCAGTGGCCGGACGCTGGCTCTGTCTGTGTGCGGGGCGAGCGAGCCGCCGCCCCGTCAGCGGCCCCGAGGACCGACCGACGATGACGGGCGTCATCAGGCGTCATCGCGCCGCGTCATTACTAAGGAAAATCAGGGGCCGAAAGCACCCAGTTTTGAAATAACTAAAATGTGCATGAATGGCAAGACATTTCGCTTTTTTGGAATATTTTGTTTTGCTCATTATTCCAGAGTTGGATTTCGACCATGGTTAGCATTGTCAGATCAATGACAAATTTCAGGTCACGAGTCAAACTCCAGTTAACTTTAACTCAAACTGCACCCGATATCGACACCCCTCCCCCAGCTGATCCCACCGTGACCTCAGATGACGTCATCACCCACCCCTCCAGCGACCCGTGACGTCGTTTCGGCAGCCACGACGGTCTCCTCAGGGCGCTCCATCAGTCGACCGATGCAGCGTAATTGGCGCCGTTCAGTTGCAGCGGCGACCGGAAGCGGACACTTCCGGTCGGCTGGTCGGGGTCCGCCGGGGTCGCTGAGACGGAGAGAGGGGCGAGAAAGCCACTCCTGTGACGGCGCGGCGGGGTCCCTCGAGGGTCCGCTGTTGCAGCTCTGGACTGGCCTTGCAGTGGTAACCATGAATGTGGCGACTGTGAGACGAGAGTTTCCGTGGAAAGGGTGGCGTATGGCGGCGAGTCGAGATGGCAGCTGGCGAGTATTTTAAACTCAAGGCCCCTTAGAGAAGGAATGCAACATTATACCATATGTTGAAATATGCTGGCCTGGAATTCGTAAGCCCACCGTTCAATACGCTCGCTGAAAAGGTGAAACCATGTTTTATCGAAAGTTTAACGCTTTCAAATCTCACACTGGCAATCATCCTGCCCTGCTGGTAACTGGCTTCTACCATGTTCAGACCATCTATCCTGTTGGCGGCCGGTCGTGCAGTTTTTCCGCCGCACCAGTGTTTGTATTCGGCATGCAGGCCCCCTGTGCTACACATGTCTCCCAGCACCGTTTCAGCTCACCATTTTAGTGACACCGCTCGTAATGTGCATCACAGAATATGGGACGGTCGTCATCGCAAATCGCACCGAATGGCCAGTAGAGGGGCGGTCCAAGTCAGAGACTGGCCACCGCCTGATTATTTAGCGCTGAATCAGGCCCAGACGAAGGTACTGTGTAATAATTCGGGTCACAGCCAGCCAACTACAATATTACTTTGAGACAGTAATAGGTTTTTATGTAGTATGGCCCACTCAGGACGTGATATGAGGGTTATGGCTTCTGTTATTCATTGCAAACGGCGGTACAATCAACGCTGCAGACATGATGGGTCATACTGGGGAAGACAGACCAGCAGTTTCAGAATTCCGAAAATTCTAGCTTATAATCACCTGAAATTATCATATGAAATTATCATATACGAGTAGAAACCGGTGGCCCAGGTGTACGTTGACTTTACAAGGCGCACAATGACACAATAAAAGTAATCTTCCTCCCCACATCAATCTCTGCATCGGATGAATTTGACTGACTATACCTGAAATGGCATATGACAAATTAACATCGATTTGAATTTGAACATGGGCTCGAGGAGCAGCGCTTTATCGAGAGCCCGTTATCGATAAAACTCAATTCACATGAAATCTGCACAAGGGCTTACGGCATCTTGACGTCGCAACTTGTAAGGACCACATTCCGATATTACGCCTGTTTGGTCGCTAGTGCTTTACAGGCTGGATAATCTTATAATTATTCTAAATTGGAATATGGCTAAAAACGGTGAGCTGGATGACTAAAGCCGGTGGGTTGGAAAAAAATATCATTTTATCTTTGATGTAGAATGCAGTGGTTTCCGCATGCGATAGGATGAGCGGTAAACGATAAACGATAATTATCGCTGTTAAGTAAATCGGTTATCGTTATCGTTTATCGCTAAATTTTCAAAATTATCGCTCATCCTCATATCGCAAGTTACAAAAATTATGAACGATAAACGATAAAATGTAAAACGGGATGATGGAAAAGTGGAAGACGATCGACAGTAATCGTGACAAGAAGTGGCGAAAGGCAGACACGTAGCCAGGATTTTGCTCAGGGAGGGGCCACAGGTCGCGGCCTAGTGTCGTACCCCCTCAAAAAAATAAAACTCCTCGGATTTGACCCACTATTTTTGGGGGTGTGGTGCAGCTGTTTTATTTATTTTATTTTATGTTATCTAATTTTATTTTATTTTTTGCCTTCAGGGGGGGGCATGGCCCCCGTGCCCCCCCCCCCCTTGGCTACGTCCCTGGCGAAACGCCAGCAGTCAGCACATTGATATTGACGGTCGTGAGTCGTGCACTCTTCAGAAGAATTTCTTCTCTTGTGTCCTAGAATTTCTCTTCAGTTGGAATTTCGATAACATTTACACGACCTCTGGCGCGGTCCCTCTGTCACATGGATGGACTAAGCTCAGTCAGCGGCTCGGCAGTCGTCTCGTGGGCTGGCTCGGGCGGCTTCTGATCACGGACGGGGCAACCGGCCCAGCCGCGAGCCACTCCAATCAAACCACCGTCACCGCCGCCACAGCCGCCGCCACCGCAGAGCTCCTCAGAGCAATACGCCTGCCAGCCGGGGCGCGTAGTTCCCATCGCCGCCGCCAGGTGGCACTGCGCGTCGGGCCGACGTCGAGCGCCGCTCGGCGCATCAGTAGCGCATCGGCAGTGGCGGTGCGCGCGCGCGGCGACGGGTGGTACGTCGCGTCGAGCTCGTCGAGCCGTTCGGAGACACGGAGGGACACGGATCGGTCTGGTGGGCGCTCGGCGCCGCACAGGGTCGAGAGGGGACCGGTGCCGACGGCGGCGGCGCTGCGTTCGGCTGGCGGGCGGACCCGCGCCGTTCCGCAGCCGGCGGACACGTGCAAGGAATGGACGTACAGACGATGAGCTCAGTGGATCCCGTCTTCAAGAAGGAGGAGGTGCCCATGATTATCGCCCAGTTCTGGCAGCAGGTGAGTCGGGTACTGGGTGTGGGTCGGAACACCGGCTGCTGTTGTGAGGTGTGTGACATTCGGTGGCGAGGTGGGGCTTTATCTTGGTCAGTGTGAACCCCTGAGGATATTTCAAGCAGCTGATCAGCTGTTTGTTTCCTAGCAAGTATTTTAGGCATTAATGCTACCTTTCGTTTTTTTTATGTAGTCAAAGTCATGCTCTGAGTGTGCATATTGGGTGGGGTTTGTCAATTGTCCTGTTTAAACTTTTAGGCAGATATGACAAGGCGGAACAGAGTCGTAAGCAGTTATCTCCGAAAACTGTTGTTCGGTTGAGCTCCGCTAGATACTAACCCAGTAACTATACATCTAAGTAGCATAATTGTGAACAATTTTTGCCATAGTTGAGCTAATTATCAATATTCAGCTGTTGGGTGTCAGAAGTTCATTTTAGTAAGTTTAAACCGCATTGGTGTGTAGCACAAAGTTAAACAGGCGCAGTAAAAGGTCCACCGTACGTAAGGTGAAATCAAACCAGAGAAAATTAGTGCCGTCTTGAACCAAACTGGGCTCGTTGCTGATCTTTCACCTTGCGAGCTCTCAGATGCCTATGGTAAATAACCGCTTTGGAGCCTAATATTTATAGCATCAATTTATCCTCTTTGTGATTTCAAATTTAAATGGTACTTGCAGAGTGAATCAGTGTAACCTTTGAGTGAACCATTTTCCTGTTTGGAATCACGTTGACTACCTTCATGGCACCGTCTCACATTGCCAGCGTACAATGCATCAAAAGCATAATAAAGCCATAACTTGAAAAAATAACTATTATAAAGGCCATTAACGTCTTCTCGGTATTGAATGAGCATGACAATTTGTATTTTCTGGACTAAATGGTACCATTTTCTGAATCTGGTATCAATGCCGATAGAGTTCTCTGACTTGGCCAATTTTCCCCATACCGCTGTAAGCATTCGTGCACAATGTCAATAGCACGATTGGCGTAGGAACAATGCCAGCACCAGTCGAACAGGCATTTTGTCAACAGGATTATCTGTCATCATACTGTACTTGGCTACGTAAAAACGTCAGTTACCCTGTCAAAAGAAAAACACCTCAAGTAACAATATCCGCATTATCGTCACCAATGCAGTCCACAGATGGTGAGCCGTTTTGTCTTCACACGATCAGCGAACACGCGATCGGGTGGGGTGGGGTATAGTCCCTCTGTGCGCCGTCCCGGCCCGGATCGTCACGAGCCGTGGTCACGGGCGGACACTCGTGAGTCGTGAGTCGTGAGTCGTGAGAACGGCGCGGGTCCGTGACCAAGGCCGGGAGTCACGGGGCCAGCTGCAGCGGTTGAGCAGGGAGCTAATAAAGAAATTGATGCCTCTCAGTGAATCTGCCGAAGTTTCCGGCAAATAGAGATTCGGCTTTCGTAGGCTGCTCTGACCGAAAAATTTGAATACAATTTGGCCAAACTCCTTGCGCACCTATTCCTTGACATGCCAATTGCATAAAGCTGTGCTTTACAAACCTGTACGTTCCGATGGTGCACCTTTTCTTAGCGTTAGCGAGAAGTAGTGAAAGCTACAACAACTACCTACCATGATCAATGGAACAAAGAAGGAAATAATAATGATGTTGCAATTTACACATTTTAGGGTTCGGTTACATTTAGTTGCTGAGATGATGAATGCATTTATAAATACATCTTACTGAGATCTAAGGAGCAGTTAGCGGGTCTTCTTTTTCTAACCAATCGGTAACTTCAAAGTAAGTTTGAGCAAGCACCAGCTAACTAATTAGAATTGATTCCAGACATGAAGTAACCAAAACAAAATCATTAATCTATTTCTTTTTCACCCGAGTTTGTCCACCGCGACATACATTTATCTGAATTGATACGAAGCATGAGACGCGTGGCTAAAGCCTCCTCGTTACACACATTATTATCTGATAAAGAACGACACCCTTCGACCTTCCTTGTCTCATAAATGTTTACATTCCCTGGGCCAACACACCGGAACAGCTAGAGCCGAGTCCTCATCATGTGTCATGTTTTCCGTTCGGCTGCCTCTGTTTCTGATCATGTTCGGTCAGCTTTTGTTTATTTTCTCCGCCGATTACAATGGCCCGACAAAGGCGGACGATCGCCTCGTTTGAGGGGCTCATGACGTGATATGACACAGGACAGAGCAGTGGGTATTGTAACAGGTTTGTAAATACTGGAATAATAGAGCACTGCGAATAAAATATAATACAGATGGGGTGACGTTTGAACCAGCCAGAACTTTACAGATTCAACGGTACGGCCTGGATATAAAGAAATGGTTTTTGGGTTTGGGTACTGATGTGATGCTTCCATGCAGTCATTTTTTTTTTTTTTTGATTGGTCAAAACATTATGAATATTCACCGATGTTTTTCTGGGTTCAAAATATCATATGTTAATGTTTAGAATCGTTTTGTATCATTGTGATCTGACAATGCACACGATTGTCGCCGTGCCTTCTCCAGCCCAGGCCATGCCTGACTCTGACCTGACCCAACTCAGCTCTGACCCAAACCTTACCCAATTATCAGCCTAAACCTGACCCTGACCCAAACCTGTCCCAAATCTCACCCTAAACCTGACCCTGACCCAGCCCACCTGATAGGATGACCGTGTGTTTGCTCAGACTAGCTGATGCGCATTGTAGCTCCACAGGAGTGGTTTAGTTCGTATTGACCATAATGACTAGCAGGCACGGGTGGAGAATGTTTGAAAAAGTTACCCCGGCCGGCGACCGAAAGTCAGAAAGACGATGATGCTCAAATATTTGTCAACGGTTATCAACAAACCCCTAGGATGTCTGCCGTTTGTACGTTTTTAGGGAAAACTGCTTCACGAAGGTGCGGAAGATTTCGTAATTGTAACAACAATTTTGCAACACGCCTTAAAATTTCGGACGCATGTCACCTAGTGCTAGGTTAGGTCATCAGGTCAAATTTGCTGGATGATCGTGCTAATGCCCTTTGCAAAGCATATTCCGTGGAAGTTGCAAACTTCCCACACAAAACAAAATGTCAAATTTGACCGTTTTGACCCTCTTATTGATTTGAGCTCGCACCTGAAATATGATTTACCTACCTACTTCTGTTTGATGAAACATGTCGGGCTCTGCGATGAAAAAAAACTTAAAAACATAGAAGCTCCAAAATGAAAATAATAAAGTAAATTTTCAATAACTTTTCAAGGTAGATAAGAATAATGAGAGACGCTTTTATAGATGGCAGTTTTTTTGTATGGAGACAGTTTTTAGGATTTACAAAAGTGGAAAAAGTTACCCCGGCCGCGCCGGGGTCGGCTGAAAGTTACCCCGGCCACGGCCGGGGTGGCCGGGGCAGGTTCTCCACCCATGCTAGCAGGACACACTTTAGGGAGAACGGTTACTGAGACATTTCCACCGGTGGTTTATCATGGAAGCACACAGCCTCCGAGGCATTAGGCGGACCGGATACCTTGAGGGAGGGAGTCTTTGAAAAGATGTATGGGAAGTCTTAGTTGTGTTGATATAGATTGGCGTGGCCACCGAGGCTCGAATGTCGCTGCATTGTTTGATCACTGGCTAAGACTTTTGTTTTATTTCTTTGTGACATTTTTAAAACAGTTGTTGCTCCATTTGTCATGACATTAAAACGGCTTTATAGTCAGGGTGCTACTTCCTCGATGTCAGGGATGTCAGTCTAAGTTTTGATGACGCCAATACCAGACCTCGCGTGAACAAAATCCACTGACGTGGGCTAATTGGAACAGTTAGTGCACCAATATGGCTTCATCACATCCATTTGTGACATCTTTTTCCTGTGCGGAGCGACAACTGAATCGGTCTTCTTTCGATCAGTTTTTATATTTGAACTGGTCTTGCAGGCTAAAAGTGTCCTAATCACGAGTTTTGGTGACAGGTACCACCTTAAACCCACAACTCATTTTGAAGTGTCAGCCTACAGAGAAACGTGGGTGGCATGTATCGAAACATGTGTCACAATATGTGCGTGCTCATGTAGGTTGAACTGACAATGACGTTTTACCGACGCATGTTATGGCAGACTCTGAACAATTTTACTTTATATAACAAGTTGGAAAGGGTATGCTGTACCGTATCAATATCAACATTGCAATAAATTATACCAGAATACAATAATATCACAGTTCATACGCGGAAGCCACTGCTAAAATGAACATCTCTAAAGTGACTGAGTAACTACTGCGTGCGGTAAAGGAGGAAGAAAGTAACCCGAGCAATTGCCATTGTCAGCCCAGAACAATGTGCTTACTTAAAAAGCAGTCCCGGTATCATGTTCATTAAATCAGCTTTGATTGGTATCTGCATAGTTAATTTTAATGGCCAAAATATGAAGCGACTACATCGGTTGTTAACGTCTGCCATATACTTTTTTTATGCATTCATGCACAACATTTTTTAGGCATGGTCTCATGGATGTCTTATGAGCAACCCTGTTTGCCTATAAACGTAGAGCAAAATGCTCTTGGCATTATGCTTTCAGCTAAGTAAGACATTTATAGTTTTTCTTTTTGCAAAATGTCTTTCAAGACAACCACCTCCATTGTTAAACTCGTTCCTTACATTTGAATGTACCAGAGTTTCAAATATCCAGCCGATTTACCACAGCATTTCAGATAAAAAGTCACAAATAATTCATTTTTATCTCCCACTGCTCCTCCACCTGAACATTTTTTTTTCGCCAAATGCGCAGCCATTCTGTCATCGATCTGTCGCCTATGTCTGTCTCCATCGTGTCCAATTGCCGCTCTGTCATTAACTTTCTAATCACGGGCATAATTACGTATCGCCGGAATGCCGATTGGCGATAGTGTTATTACGGATCCAATAGCAGATCAGCTGCCGGCCAAATCCCGATTTACAGTCGCCCCATCGGCCCCGCTATGATTAATCACAATGCGCCACTGGCTGAGCTAATGTGGCATCATTTTCGTTATTGGGGATATCGCGTTTC